GAGGAATCATCGGGGTTTCCTTCAGACGCGCATCCGAGCCGCACGGAAGTTGGCGTTTGGCTAATTTCCCTAGACTGTCTGTCGCTTATGCTCGAAAGGTCCGACCGGTGTCCCATTGGCTAAGGTCCCAGGGCTAATGAGAGGGACAATGACGCCCAAACAGCCGTTATAGCCTTGCCAACTTGAATGTACAGCAGGCGCTTTGGAAAAGGTGCCAGGCTATCGTTTGGTACAGTGCGCTAACATTATTGTAACGTGTTGTTGATGGTGCGGCTGTAGTTTGTCATATGCAAGGTTAGTGGTGCTGGAGGTGATCTTGACTAAGCATTGACCGCTCTTGTATGGTTTATAACGCGTTTTATTCTCCAATATTCTGCAGCGTTTTTCTTTGACTAATGCGGAACCCGAGCAGACAATTTTTTGTCAAAACTGAGTCGCGTTGACGATTTTAATTGTCGAGCATCGGAAATTGCGCGTTTGTGGCCATAACAGAACGGCGGCCGAATACCTTTATTTGAAAGCTGTTCTTCGCAACAGCTAAGCTAACCATTGGCCGCAGCTTACTGCATATTGGGTTTCCCCGGTTGGTCCTGTATTTGAACCGATTGGACTGCGCAGCATTATTTTCGCAGGTGAAGCAAATTGTTCTTTAGGTTCACTCTATTATTTTCGTAAACGTGTGTTTCAGCTGCCGAAGGGTTGGCAATTGCGTCATCAGCTATAATAAATAAATAAAATAAATAAAACTTTTATTCTCAACATGGTGAGGCACGCCTTTACAGGCATGATCATTTTGACATAATTTTGCGTGATCAAGAATGTGCAAAATTCCCATATGTTTGCCATAGCAGTTTGTGTTTGTGTAGGGGGAATGTATGTATGTCATTGTATGTGTATGTAGCTGTGTATTTTGGGCTTGTACTTGTGCTGCTCCAATTTTTAATATTTGATATTATCAGCAATACGCGAGTAGGAGATGGGTGTCCGTGGGTTGGAGAGAATTATCTGGATATCTACCGAGCAGTGACTTTATTTTGTGGTGCGTCACGACCACTATGTCACAGCGTTGTTAAGCAGACATTTGTGGCTTTTTAGAGGGATAACGCTTGCCAGGCGAAACCCACCACGTCCTGGAACACTGCCGCCAAACTTTTTGCTGGAGCGGGTTAAACCCGAACCACCCAGCTGACACCACGAGGAGGTTGTTCGGCTAGGCAGAAGCTTGATATCACCTTTAATGCCAGTAGCACTCAGCCGCTTAGATTGCCTATATTTCGCGTTTTCCACTCCAAAAGCGGCTAGTGCCCGTGCCTGAAGTAAATCTCGCATATATACATCGTCCGCTGCATCAAACATCCGAATTTGAAGCAGTGTTCGCCATTTTTAAGGTAACACAGCTTCATTCGACGCTACCATTATGCCGCCACTATGCAAGCAAAGTAAACGGGTAATCTGTATGTACGCGTGTTTCTTGTTGGTGAGAGTAAACTGCAAAATTTATTTCCGTCAAAGCAAGTCAACTACATCTGAGTGGCGTGGTCAAGTTGTACATAATGGTCGCATAAAATTCGGAATTGTTTACATTTTAGACAGTGGATCCCAAATGTAGGTTTAAAGTGGCTGACAATTTGAGTGCAGCGAAGTGTTCAAATACTGGGAACAATAACAACTGCAGAGTTGCTAGAACACCAAGTAACACGTACCTCAATGAAACCATCCCCAAAGGGACATGGTTGCATGTGGAGTATTCCCCCAACGGGTTTCACCCACACTTCCATGTTCCAACTGGCTTTATACCGGTGTAGAAAAACAGCGTATAGCTTGCTAGCCGAACAACTTCCTCCTGATGTCAGCTGGGTGGTACGGATTATTTCTGTTCCAGCGCATTGTTCGGCGGACGTAGTGGCTTTCCGCCTAGCAAGAGTTCCGCTAAAGAAACCACAAATGCCTGTCTAACAACCCCGCTACTTGGCGGATGTGCATCGCCAATAAATAACGTCACTACAACTTTCCATTTCTGCGCAGCTTACACACATGACGTACGTCCTCCATTTCAAAGTCTTGCTTTGCTTTCCTGTTTCGATGGACTACCTGCGAGCAATCTCAGACATTTAATCACAGTAACAAACCCGCACAACGTAACTACTTACACATACACATAAACCACTTGATGCCTACACATATGTTGGGAAGTACTCTGGCTTGCTTGATTTAAATACAGGGTTAAAAGAGCATTGAGCAGGCGGTGAGTCATAGAGAACTTGGGTGGGTATGACAGCGGTGTACACCATGGCATCGCAAGCCAGATCGAAGCCCGATAGGATGTTTCGGAGAAGCGACAGGTGCGAGTCCGCTGCTAGAGGAATAGTGGTTGTACTGAGTGCAAACGGAAGAAGAATAGAAGAGAATAGACATCAGCGTTCCGAACCTTGAAACCTATCCAGAATAGTATAGGACCGGAAGCGCATGCAGCATGCGGTGTACATGGAAATCTTGGTAATCGGAGGTACAAGAGCACTGCGTCCTAAGCGAATGGAAGCCGGTTATAATGAAATGGAGACAAAAGGGGGCTAGGTGGCTGCTCGATGCTAGGCAGGCTCGCTGGATCCAAACAGAGAGAAATCTACCGAGCAGACAGCAAGTTCAGAATCCGGAAGCGGCTAAATTTCAGAATAAAAGTGCGAAAAATATGTAGCACGTGGCGGGGAGATGAGGATGGTGGTGGCGGATTGGCAGGGAGCATTACGGCATCACGGGCCAAAAAGGTGTTGCAAAGAATCGGAAGTAGCCGGTGTGTTACATGCAGTATCAAAAGGTTATTTGGAGCATAATTATATCCCACCCGGTTCTAACTCTGAAGGTTAACCTGGTTATTTTTTGGCTACTTAGTTCCGCTAGGTTAGCTGGTATCCGCAGGCAATACACAAAGCTGGACAGGCCGCGTGCCAAGCATATTTGAGCGGAGTTGCGGTTACCGCATCGATTTCTCTGGTGCTTACTCCTAGTTACACAGGGTGGGTCGAAGGTGTCTACAGCTGAGAGGTTTGAGCGAAAACCAAATGGTCTTGTGACAAAATGGAAACGTCTTTTACTTGACCTGCTACCATCTTCATACTTCTATAACATTATCTGTATTTTCCCCACTATATGCATCATCGATTCCATTTAACTGAATTCCTTTACTCTTTACCTTTGATTTCTCTTCTTATTTCGCTCACATAATGCAACTGGTCTAGCAGAGTGTGTTAATGCAACGTACTTCTACATTGTTTGTAGGACCATGGTGTGATCCCGGTGCTTTTGTTTTAACTTTGTCAAGGAGTCGGAGTGCGCCGAAGCAGCTGGATAAACGACCAGCTCATGAAGGATCACATACGAGATTTCTGCTGTCGTCGCTGTTCCCCCTGAACGTGAACTTGCACACACCAACATACAACAACCTGCTATGCCCTAGTAGCACGATAGTAACAGCAAACTGGACAGAAACTGGACAACAGTCCAGTTCAGGTATAATGCATTACTTAAAGCTAAATGCATTTAGACTGACATTTGTTAATTAATAAATGATTGGTAAGCATTATATGTAATATTATTTGTCCATAAGACGTGGGGTTTAAATGCACCGACAGGTCATTTTATTTGCGCGGTTTCGGTTTTGTAACCTTGGTCGCTGCTTGCGCTTGGGTATGCGCTATTGCTTAGCTCCTTTGATACCGCGCCACCTCAGGCACACCTATCAGGTTTTCCAGTTATAGCTTGTTTGATACATATGTATTCCTTTTCAGCATGCCGCGTCGAAAAGTTATCAATTAACTGCACTGTTTCCGTCTCGTAGCACCATTTACCGTGCAGCAAAAGAATGACATCAGGGTTTAGCTACGAAGAAGTGCTTCTGTTGTCAGCAGCTAAGCGACAAAAGGGTAAGAGGATTTGTAACATATATTACTTATGATTGCTCACACAGTGCAGCCATCTGATAAGGTTACCAACTGCTGTGCCGATGACAGGGACCCCGATGCAGTGGTCCATAACTTGAGAAAGCTTATTACAAAATCTCAGGTACCAGCGTCATTTGTTCGTCTACTGTTGGGGCTTGTGCAACCGTGGATGCCATTTTGCCAAAGGACTACCGGACGCTGATGCGAACTCCACGGAACTCCCGTATACGAATGGTTGCACCGGGCACTTACGGTCACGTAGGTCTGCTGAGAGGTTTACAGCTTGCATGCTCTGCTCTTTCGCTCGCGGCTGATGACACTGTATACTATCAATTGCATATTGACGGATTTAAGCATTTTAACGATTATCTTGTAATTTACCCAATGCCACACAGTTATACACTAACTATTGACGTCTTTCTTTTTCAGCACAGATGGCTTTTCAAGGATACAGCGTTGTCAAACTACTTGACAGACAACACCATTCCGATGGGTCTTCCAGCTAAGCGTCCTATGTGAGTATGGTTTTTTATTTCCCCATAGACGACGGCCCGTCCGCTCCAGCTCCGATGACGAAGATGCCGCGCGTCCCACCAAACCCAAAAGACCTGCTGCAGCAACTTACGCACGTGCTCCCAGTTCTCTCTTCAGTGGCATTAGTCCACCACGTCCAGAGCCATCAACAAGCAACCGTAAGTAGCGCATTCCTACTGCCCCTATTAAACAGTAATCGCACCGACTGTTATTGCTGATGTTGCACCATCCAATCTGGAGGTACTACAGGAACTGAAGGCGATTAAAGGTAAGACGTCACAGACGCATTGCATTGCACTCAGCTTTATTTTTAGATGAATTATGCCTCATCCGATCAGAACTGGTCGGCCATCGCCGCATGTCCGAAACCATGTTGCAGATGCTGCAACGACAGTCCCAACGTCTTGCACCGGGACTTTGTCTGCCATTTATCTCTCTCAGTGAGCTTAAGGGATATGATGAACGGCTGAAGGACCCAGATTTCAAAAACAGAGTCGTAAGTTCGTCTTATTATTGAAAGACTTTCAGGTCAACCATTTGTGTGCTGTGCACGGTGCTAACGTGCAACTCGTCGTCAGGGGTACCATGGAGCGGCTAATGATAAGATCAGTTGCCGCGGAGATCTACTACTCAGGCGCAGGTGGCTTGTTTGCATTGAGGCGAACCAATATGAACGGCATTGTACAAGGTAGGTTGACATACAGTAATGCATAAAAACTACAAAGGCATCATTCGGCAACGCATGGGTGATGCAGCCTCGGATGCTGACATTACACGGCACATCAAAACGTGGTTGCATTCTGCACGGCACAAGAGACCGCCTGTTGAGCAAAGTAAAGTATGCAGCGCGAACGAGGTGAGTCCACTGCTTCATTATGAACATCTTTAGCCTCCTACATTGTCCATCGCCGAAGCGGATTAACCATCTTGACAATGCCGCTTTTTGCTACTAACGATTTTTGTACTACACACCTTCATGTACATAAAGCATTCTTATACCCCGGTTGTCATGTTCTTTCGCCTTGTGATGTTCTCAGGTGCGCGGTAAGCTCCATTTCGCTTCCTGACCAACAGCTTGAAGCGCCGCCTAGGTGTGTTCCCACGTCCAGCAACTACGGCAACACGTACTGCGTGAACCTTGGGTCCGAACCGTCAATGTATTCCTTAGGTACTAAGTGCGTAGAAGTGTGATGTCCGTATTCGGATATCCATGGTAGGCAATCGAGGTTTCTGGACCTACCGGATTGCCACACATAGTGGTGGATTTCTATTGGTCAACGCTGGCATCATTTTCATTGGTCCGCCGTAAACTGGACAAAATCCCTTTTTAGCCGTCTCACGGTATAAGATCCTGTCCAGTTTAGCGTAATGCTCTCATAGAAACGTTTAGGAGGCTAATCTGGACAGGACCTGGACATGTGCTACCAGGGTGTTTTGCTTGCACATAAAAATTTTCCGGAAGAGAAAGGGCATCATAAACGTTGTCGAATTATGTGGTTTGTTTTTATTCTCTTGGCTTGTTCCGAGAGCGGATAAGATGCCCTTTGTCTTTTGCGGGCGGGAGCAGTTAACGGACATATTTTCGGGAACGATTACGGTGACCGTCATTCACTGGTACAACTGTTAGTAAAGATAGTAATACACATAGTGTGTAAAATACAAATATAAAATTGAAGGAACTTACTGGCCTATAACTAAGGAAAACCGGTAAGTCGCGGTGCTAGGGGTTCATTTTTGCTTATTGGCATGCTGATTAAGCGGAAGCTTGTTTCGTCCACGGTTCCTGTCTTGTCCTGCATTAAGCGCAAATTATGTATGCTTGCGAGAGATACACCTGAATTTTTTATAGGTAAATAACCTATAAAGGGTAGAAAAAAGGCCGATAAAAAAACAACAGAAATATTCACAGTCACAGGACCCCACTAATTTCGGCTTGCGTGTACAGCCACACCCTCGCTTGTTTAATACCTGCCTGGTACGTGAATCCCGTGGTCCGTTTGACGCCTGCTTCCTTTACCTTATGCGTCTCCGTTAGGGCGTGGAATACGTACGAAAGTCCTCTAACTTATGGGTTTTTTAATGCCCTATTTGAATGCTGCAAAAGGATCCTTCCAAGGTCTGGCCGCACAAGAGTATGTGCTACAGGGATGAGAGCCGACTTATCCTCCGACAAACACGTTTGAAAGGCGACACGTCCCCATATATTTTTCCGAGAGATTGATTTAAATAAAAACGCAGCTGTTAATGTGCTCTGATATCGCCTAGCTAATGGTGAGACAGACCACGGACTAGGCCGAGATCCCAATGTGGCAAGTATTCTGCTCTCACTTGCAAAGGACTGCTTGCCTCGCGTTGGAAGTAGCAAAACAATGGTGACCGGCAGAACCCTGTGTGTTATCGGCATATATATGAGTTCTTGCAAAATCAGGGAACGATTAAACAAGCACGCTCTCAACCTTCATTGGGAAGGCTTATGCTACTCACTTCACAGCACGGATTCCGCAGGGTACGATCCTGCATCACAAACTTGGTTGCTGCCAGAAGAGCATGGGTTAAAGCAACGGACAAAATGCGACACCTTGATGTCGTCTTCATTGAGTTTCAGCAACGCATGTCCCACAGGGAGTTGGTGTTACAGGAAACGTCTTGTTCTGGATTCCGCTTCCTGGAAGCACGAACCATTCACTTGAAAGTGTGTAGTCACCTGGAGATGGCATCGTATGACCAAACTATTCTAAAATATATTAAAATTATACCTTCCTTATGTATTAGGGAATTAGGCGGTTTGCCTGTTGGAACGTTGTTCCCGTTTGTTTGAAACACGAATGCGATATCCGCCTTTGACGCGCGACTCGACTGCGAACGACGCTCCGTCCACGCACTCGACGCCCAACTACATCCTCCCTAGTTAGCTCTCTTCTGGTGCTTTATTTTTAGCATTAGCTAACTCTCCTCCCATCTAATAAACTTTTCCCCAGCTTACTTTGTGTGTTCTACCCATTGCTTCTGGTTGACCATCTAGTCTCGTATCGACAAGTGTACCAAACACCGTCCCTGTGTCTATGACAAGTGGAGTTCTCCAAGACTCCGTCATCGAATCAGAGCTCTTCACACATTAACGGTCTTCTAGTGACATTTAATACCGTCTAGTCCACACTTATGATCTCTAACTGGGGTCAGATGTGCCAGACTGGCACTCTTGTAACCAGATGTAGAACGGCGCAAAGCTCGAGGTGAAGAGTTGACCTGACAGCGGGTAATGAAGTCACTGACGACCAAACTCGGTACCGTTGGTCCGTCTCGCCTTCCGGGCTGGAGTCCACGTGATTCGCCTTGTGCTTATCTTGATAGCCAGGTGCTTTTGTCGGTATGTTATCTACACAAGATGTAGACGCCTTGATCCTGCATGTTTACTTAGGGCATTAAGGTTTTCAGGTAAGTCCTTTCCTCCCTCATTATTCTTTATCCCATAAGTCATCATGATTGTATGACAGTGAAGCATCAGTTCAAATAGCTGATGTACTGTTGTTCTTGTCACTTGTTTAAAGCTCCCGGCCAAACCTACTTGCTTTTACTGAGACGTGGCTGTTCTCCGACATCCTGGACAGTGAAGTGTTTGCCTAGCCATACCCTACTGCGAGCTGCTCGCGCCTTATGCTGTTGCGCAAGTGGAGTTGCGTTGTGCACAGATCTGCCTTGACAATTTTACTAACATGTTTGTTTTATTCTCCCGATATAACTGCTGAGGTTCTTTCGGTGTATGTCTGCAACTCTTGCGCAATTGAACAGTGTCAGTATACAGAAGCCCCGAAAGTGCGTAAGCGCTGTGTTCTTGGCCTTGAGCTCTTCAACGTCACTTACAATTTGCTGTCCTTGCTGCAGCCAGATTGTCTAATATATGCAGATGATCTGAAGTTGTGGATGGAGCTCTCCAGCATAGAGGATGCTGATCAACCACAAGAGACGCTTGCTCTTCTGCTTTGTTGATCGATCTATTGGTGATTTCTTATCAATCGCGAGAAATGTTCTGTTCTACTTATTAGCGCGACTGAACCATTCGGGGCCAACCACGTTAGTTGTGCTTTGCTAACATCTGTCACTCTCGGGAAAGACCTCGGCATAATCATGTCTCCCGAGCAATGACCAACTCGGAACACTTTGAAGAGGGTTGCCGCTGCATACAGGATGTTCCATGCCCTACAAAAAAGCTTCTGCTACCTCACACCAATGCTCTTCTGACTCCTGTTCACAGCGCACGTACGTCCGATCCTTGAATACGGCTTTCCTGCCTCATTTCTCATCCACTTCAAGTATACTATGATTGAGCAGATCCAACGACGCGGTTCTACATCTGTTTTAGTGTTGCGTGACCTCTATCCTTTTCACCTCCAACACTTGAATGCCTTTTCTCTGAATCACCGTCGCCGTCGTGGAAATTTAATTTTCCTTCTACGTATCCTTAGAGGATAGCTGAGAGCTACAGTTCTTTCATCTCAGTGCTAGAACTTCGACTAGAGATCACAATTGGGAATTATTTAAACCGAGGTGGCTCCGAGTGCAGACCATTTTTGTCTTATCTACCCGTGTTGTGTATGACGAGCCGCTTGCCGGAGTTCGTCTTTGACGCACAAATGCAGGAAGGTTTCAAAGCAATGCTGAATATGCCGGGATCTTACTTCATCCATTGCGCCCGCGGATCTCCGTCTCGCGATGGCCAGCTCATCCCTGCTATGACCGGGAAGTGATGCTGACAGAGGATCCCCTCTCTGCTATCCAATGATCCATAGCTAGCGACACGGTCTTTTGCAACTTCGTTGACCTGTTTGAACGTCGTAGTGCCGAGGCTCCGGACTTGCTACTGGCGCACGAAACGGAACACTCATTAGGCCCAGACGTGTTTCGTCCCTTGAAATTAATATATATATATATATATATATATATATATATATATATATATATATATATATATATATATATGTTGTGCCTCATGCTGAGGCTGATGTTGCATTCTTGATGCTTCTTCACCGCAGTTGGGCTAAACCAACTTACACTTAAACTAGGTCTTTTTAAGCTGGATAAATTTCATTCCGCTTTATTTGGTTTGTTCTGCCTCCCTGAATAATGTTCTATTAACTGGCTACGTTGCTTACACTAATTGCGCTTATCTTCGGTAATTTTGTTGCGTTTGTAGCATTTTAAGTAACTTGTGGACATGTCTTACTTATCACGGATTTGTTGCTAACCAACTTACTTCATATGCTAATTTAGCGAAGAGTTATGCCACCGTATCTGTATGCATTATTGTATTTATTTTATTTCAGCTTGTCGTTTAAAGTGAATGGCTGTTGTTTGATATCCCTGGTATGGTTGCGCTTGATGTGTATGTTGACAAGGTGCCTACCTGTCTATTACCCACTACATCGTTCATACTGGCTCCAGGAGCCAGTTGGTCGTTGCTGGAGGGGACGGGGTGCACGGTTCTTGTGGCCGTGCTAGGCTCAAAGAGCGGTTCCATGCACTCAGTGTGGAGCGGACTACGGTCCAGCCACCGCCTTGTGTGCGCTTGATTCCCCAAATACAGCGTGCTTGTGTTTGCCTGTGAAGGAGTGTGGGCCGGCTCCGTTGATGAAACGTGGTTCCCATCCGCATGCCTCCCGGTCTTATTCCTTCGGGTTTACACTGGATATGGGGTATGTGGATGGAGCTGTGGGTGGTGCAGCGCAAGCCATCCATGGTCCCTCTGTAGGCGCAGGCGTCCTGTGGCTTGCCACAGTGACAGGCAAATCCGAAACCGGATGCCGCCAACCATATATATGGTTGGCGCGTACAGAGGGACCATTGGTGGTTTGCGCTGCACCACCCACAGCTCCAACCACATACCCCATATCCAGTGTAAACCCGAAGGAATAAGACCGGGAGGCATGCGGATGGGAACCACGTTTCATCAACGGAGCCGGCCCAC